TTCTTTAGAACATGAATAAGAATTTAGTTAAAATAGGATTTTGGGTGTATTCAGATCTTCAGTTTTTAAATCTATTTTAAATCTGTCTATTCAGTTTTAAATCTATGAAGGGATGTCAATGAATGGCCAGTGCTCTAGGGACACATTGAAATGCACCGGCTTGTTGCCTTTACACCACTGGACAAGTTGGGCAGTTGGACTGTGAAAGGACTTCTTGGTAAATACTATTGTAAGGAGCTCAGTGACACCAAAGACTTAGCAGGAATGCTTTAAGAAGCAATTATCCAGGCAATGGACAAGGAGGATACTTGCAAAGCAACCTTATAGATATAAACTGAGCACAGACCTTATACATACTAGTGGAGAGGTGCTCATCAGGAGTTAAGTCAGGTAGTATTTTCTAGGGAGATGAGGTTGTGTAAAGTTCTCTATTTGATGTTCTAAATAAAAGGAAGGTGCTATTTAAATACGAATGTCTAGTTCTACCTCCATTCTGTGCCCCAAGGCTTTTTCTGAAGATATACACTAAAAAAGAGATACTTTGATTCATATATATATATAAAACACCATCTTTTACTTAATGGTTCACCTTTCCTCAGCAAATTCAATAAAACATGAATTCCATGAAATATACTTAATGATTCTTTTATCTCCCCGATGTTGTTTGGTCCTTTGTTGTTCTTTATGTTTGAAAAACATTTTTTTAAAGAAATAATTTATTTTAGATTTAGATTCCTCTGTTCATTTCTTGTTTTCATTAATAAGTCAAAGCATTCTGAAATCATTTAGGTAACTGAACCATAGATATTAGTAAGTTTCTAAGGGAAAACAGTTTCAGGAAAGATTTGATTCTGTTATTATTTACCTGATTTATTGGGTTCTAGTTTGGTGTTAGAAATTAAACCAAGAAAAAGTTTACATGGGAGAAAAAAATCAAATGATAAGATAGATGCAACAGGGCTGAGAAACTGAATCCATAGAATTTAGATTTTTAGCTATGTAAGAGAACTTGAGTTACATGTTCCAGAAATCTAATGCATGGATCATAATGCAAGAATCTGTAGGATTATGACAAGGGTACACAATTCAGTCTTCATTTGAAATCCTCAGGAGGTTGTTAATCATGTGATGCTTGTCACCAGTTGATGTTTCAAAACAAGAGATTCTGAAAACTTTGCCAGCATTTTTATTTCACATATTTTTTTACTCATACAGGGCATAGAGCTTACTAGATATCCTTTAATTTTTTTCTAATTGTATTTAAAATTTGTCCTGTAGAAAAAGAAAATGGTGGTGAGGCTTTACGGTTGGTTTGATTTCTTATATTTGTTTTTAAATTTTGTTATTTTAAGAATTAAAATAAGATAAAGTTAACTGATAGTTAATATATATTTTGGCATATATACACATGTATATATTTATAAGTGAATATGATTAAATGTGTATGCTCAAAATAATTTAGAGATCATTGGCTAGTGGCTGAGAGTTGGTTCTGACTTGAGAGACGGAGCCAGAAATCTGAGTTCAGTAAGTATATACCAAAGTGACAACAGCTTTAATTACTAAATGTTGGGGATTTGTGAACACACATGCTTTAAAGGGACTTCTTGTTTAGTGGGATTTTGTCAAAGCCACATTATCAAGATGGTACTTGTTGATGTAAGAAAGTTTTCTACATTAAGTGGGGCATTAAAAATAAATGAACTTTGCCATGTAAAATTCTGTAGGGGAGGTAAGATTTCTCCTCTGCTGTCTCTGGTTCTGTGGCTGGGCTTGAGAGTTAAACTGGCCGAAGACAGATTAGCAGGAGAAAAGCATAAAAAATGTATTTGGTGTTAATATTTTTACATTGCATAGGAGCCTTTATGGAAAGAAATGAAGCCCAAAGGAATGGAGAGGTCTGAGAGCTTATAAACGACTTCAACAAGGAATGATAAATAGTGGATGTGTGACAAGGCAAAGGTAGAAAGGGTTTGAGTGAGGTCCGGGAAACCACGGGAAGGCGATGAGGACATATATGTGGGAAACTCATGGACAATAAGGGTTATTTTATCTCCATGTCATTTCCCCATCTCCAGTGATAAGAATGTTCTCTCCCTGGTGCAAGGAGGGCATCTTGCTCATGGAAAATTTTATGTCCTTCTTTTAGGTAGAAAGGGCAAAGGCAGAGAGCCCTTCCTGCATCTGTTATTTCTCAAGTACCTTCAGCTGAAAATAATATGCCAAAGTGGCATATTTTGGGGTGGCATATTCTGATCCCCTTCAATTCAAATGGATGCAGAAGTAGAAAAAAATGACTTCCATGTACTCATCACCTAGTTTCTACATTTACTAACTCATGGCCAATCTTTTTCACCTAAATTCAGATCTTCCCCTTCCTACCTACCCATGCCCACTACTACCCCAGTTATTTTGAAGCAAAACTGAATAGGACATATAATGACATTTTAAAAATTAGGCTTTTTAAAAAATATTTGCTTCCGGCATCAATATTTTCTTTTTCTGAGAAATTTCACTTCCATTATCTTTATCATCTTTGTTTCAATGTTCCTTACAGATGAAGGATTATGGATATAATGAGGATGAGCGATTATCTTTTTGATTCAGTCTGGTTTCATCCAGCTGTTCAAGCCAGAAACCAAGGAGTCACGTTACCCTCTCCCTTACTCTTCCAAGTGCATTTAGTGACCAAGGGCTGTCAAATCTTGTCCTCTCCCTGTCCCTGTCACTCTTCTACCCTCCTGCTTATTTACACTGCTTCTAGTTTGTCCCTTTCTAATTGTGTCTTGTACAGAGTATAATTATAATTCTGAAACATATCTGAATATGTCACTACCCTAACAAAATGCTCTTTTGGGCCAGGGATCCATGACTGACAGCCTGCAGCTCTTCTGGCTGACATCTCCCCACCTCTGCCAGTGTTTGAACACTGCCAACACTTAAGTGTACAGATATGTTTCCATATTCAAAATTGGTATTTCCACATTTTAAAAATTGACTTATTAAAAATTGAACGATTTAGCACCATTTGAAATAGTAGATCTTTTAAAACAATATAGGAGTTTTGGCCTTGGCTGTAGTTTCACACATCTTGCCTTTTTCACTTACTTTGTTACCTGCTTAAGGGCTGCAGTCAGAATTCTTTGGTGTGGATTCTGAGTCTCACTGCTAACATCACCTTTCCTTTCCAGCTCCTCCAATTGGATTATTACACCCATACTGGATTACTGAATACATCATTGCAAATATTACTTCTCTGTGTCTAATCTCTGCCTCCATTCCCAGCCCCCACTCCTACTTGGGTTTGTCCGATTGGAGCGTCACCCTCTGTGTGGAGCCACATCTCATCCACCCAGGCCTTTGGTTGTTGGCTCTGCAAATCCTAAAACACTATTATGCTCTTAACCGGAGGCTGTTAATTTATGCATTTCAGACACCCGTCAGTGACTGTGTGCTGTTATACTTAATTTTTTTATTACCAGAGCTTGCTACAGTACTTGATATATGATAGGGGTTCAGTGAATGTTGCTAGTTCCTCTAACTGGGTCAGAATTGAATGCTAATAATTCCTAAGGATTCTCTACTAAAGGTCTAAAAAAATGGAATTAATTTAGTTCTTTGACGTTAGTCACAAACCTATGATCTGTGATTTCTGGATCTTGCCTTTGTACTTTAGATCTGAAAATGTTTCTCTCTGCCTCTTTTTTTCTTCTTTTCCTCTCACTTACAGACTCAAACTTACCAGTCTCTCAATTGTTTGCCTTTAGTACCTGCTTTTTCAGCAGTAGGAATAAATGGATAATTTACTACAGTAAGAACACGTATTCCTGGGAAGAATGGTATATTTAAATCATTGTACCTTCATGTAGCAGTGCATTACTAATGTAATTAAAATAAAAGATTCTACTTTCCTTCTAGAATCACAGAACATTTAAATATGTCTTCTTGTAGGTAATTTTTACAAATACCAAATGTTAAATAACACATAGTTTAATATTTTTTCCTTGACTCAGACCATCTTATTGTACCACAAAATGTGCTGTAATACTTCACATGGTGACAATCAGAATGACAACACAATCTCACTTACCAACGACTATAAAATCCATACATTGCTTTTATTACACTAGGCCAGAATCATCCTTTCAGTGTAAAATATAAAATTATAAAATGTTTTATTAGCTTTAAACAAGAGTACATGACTTTGAGATATTGTAGAGCACTGTTCCAAATAGCACTTCAATGTGTCCATCAGTGGGAGATTTGGGTTTTGTTTCTATGGTTTTAAGCAAATGTTTGACTTACTGTCTCTGGCAGAAGTTACTGTTTGCCTCCTTCCCTACCAGCCCCCTTTTGAAAAAAAAGAAAAGATGAAATCTCACAAATTTATGAGAGGTTGTTTCCAGTGTTTGGCAGACCACTCTGAAGTGGTTTTTCAAGAAGTAAAAGAATAAGAATGAGACGTTTGGCTTGGAATTTATTTTTATTTAACTGGCTTTTGCTAAGGCATCGCTCGGTATAGCGTTCTGCGTAACTGGGAAGGCAAAAGGAAAAATAGCTTCATTCACATCTCTGCTGGCTTAGCAATGCTTTGGGAAGTTGAAACAAATGCTAGCTATTATAGGATTTGTATCATACATAGCAGAAATGATTTTATTGATTCAAACATAGGAGGCATCCATCTTCAAAAATCCAATTAAACTTTCTGCCCTTAAAGTTGAGAACTTGGTAAAGCTTACAAGTTTTGATACAGAAATGTAGTGTAACAATATATCCTCTCTATTTTTTTTCAGTTATAGATGAAGCATCTTGAAAAACACTCTTGAAACAAGAAGCAAGAAGAATAATACTTAAAAGTAACATGACCATTATACCTATTTACCCATCAAAGTAGCTTCATTCCACTATCTCTCTTCTATGTTTATATCTTGCATCAAATATTGGATAAACCAAAGTATGTAGGGGAAGAAGAAGTGATTTTATAGTCCTTACTCTTTGCAATGGGAGTGCTAAGGTTCAAGCATACCTTCCTTAGGAGTTTCCTTGGGTCCGTTGCAGCATCCCAGGCAGTGTTCACCTTCCTTCTGATTTCATGTTGCTTGACTCTGGACTTCAGAGCACCCCCTCTTATCCCAGACACCCCTTTCCTCTGGGGCTGGAATGTCCCAACTGAACTTTGTTTTGCAACATTTAATGTGCCTCTAGATCTGAGACTCTTCTCTTTGATGGGAAGCCCCCGAAAAGATGCCAAAGATCAAGACATTACATTATTTTATGCTGACAGACTTGGCTACTACCCTTATATAGATGAAGCAACTGGCAGAAATGTGAATGAAGGAATCCCCCAATTGGGATCCTTAAAAAATCATCTAGACAAAGCTACGGACAACATTTTCTACTACATTCAAACAGACAAGGTGGGCTTGGCTGTCATTGACTGGGAAAACTGGAGGCCTCTCTGGGCAAGAAACTGGAAGCCTAAAGATATTTATAGGAATCAGTCTATTGAATTGGTTCAGCAAAAAAATGTAAAGCTTAATGTTGCAGAGGCTACCAAGATAGCCAAAACAGATTTTGAAAAGGCAGCAAAGAGTTTCATGCAAGAGACTTTAAAGTTGGGAAAATTACTTCGGCCAAATCACTTGTGGGGTTATTACCTTTTCCCTGATTGTTATAATAATGATTATAATAACCCCAATTACAATGGAAGTTGCTTAGATATTGAGAAGAGCAGAAATGATGAGCTCAACTGGTTGTGGAAGGAAAGCACTGCCCTTTTTCCATCCATATATTTGAATAGCAAATTAAAGTCTCCTCAGAAAGCTACACTCTATGTCCGTAATCGTGTACAGGAAGCCATTCGGATTTCTAAAGTACCCAGTGCTAAAAGCCCACTTCCGGTTTTTGTATATGCCCGTCCTGTTTTTACTGATGTGTCTTTGAAATACCTAACTCAGGTAAGTAAATTAAGGTGTGAGGGTTATGAAATAGGGTCCATGAATGGTATTAGTAGACTTTAGCATATTTAGCATCATTTTTGAAGCAAGTGAAATTTAGCTTTGAATATAATTTATGCATATGCACACAGTAGTTCTGTATCATTATATGAATGCAAAATAAGAATATGTTTCATGTCAATATAATTGCATGATCTCTTAGCAACCATAGAAAACTTAGTATAGACAATGTGTTAACTCAGTTCCCTTTTTCTCCCCCATGAGTCTGCTCTGTTGTCAATAGAAATAATTTAAATTATAATATAAAAAAGTCTACAGTGGAGCAGTGGCAGTATAAAAGATAGAAATAAATAGTGGGGAAATATTTAAATTATTGTTATTGGGTCAGGATTCTTAGCTTTGGTGTTACCGTCTTACACGTTAACATTTTCATTGATTCCTATCTGTCAACTTTTTCTATCACGTTTGCCAGGATGACCTTGTGAATACACTTGGTGAGAGTGTTGCTCTAGGTGCCTCTGGATCTATAATTTGGGGAAGCCTCAATTTCAGCCTCAGTAAGGTAAATTGAATTGATAGGCAATAGATGAAAACATTTCTACTTTTAATGTTTCTGAGGATCGTTGGGGTATTGAATAACTTAATACCATGCCTCACACATATGTAACAGTAGATACTTGATTTATATGGGCTGAATCAAACTATCTTTCATTTATATGGTTATGTTGTAAGGCAGAAAATTATGGTACCTGTTTTCCAGTGAGGAAACAGAAATTCAGTGAGACCAATTAAAATTACCTAGACTACATGGCCAATAAATAGCAAAAACAGGACTTGAATCTCAGTTTTTCTGACATGATGTGTGGTGTTTTTTTCTACTACACTGTGCTCTCTCCTCTCAGAAGAGCTCCACCTAGTTAACATGCATTCATTCATTCATTCAATTAGTGTTTTTTAAGCATGGATCTTATTTATTCATTTAGTCATGTAGTCAACCATTGACAGTTGATTGCCATAGCCAGCAAACAATGGCTACAAGCCAAATCTGGCCTACGGGTTGCTTTTGTACAGTTAAGTGGATTAAAAAATTAGTATTTCATGATACATAAAAATTATGTAAGATTTAAATTTCAGTGTCAATCAATGAAATTTTATTGGAACACAGGCATGCCCATTCACTTAGGTGTCTATGACTGCTTTTGCATTACAAAGGAATAACTGAGTTTTTACATCAGAGACTGTGTCATTTGAAACCGTAAAATATTTAGTCTGTTCCTTTACAAAAAATGTTTGCTGACCCTTGGTTTCTTGAACACCTGTTTTGATTATGTGCCAGATAATTGTGTGGGTGGTAGAAACGCAGCAGTGAATGAAGGCAAGTCCCTTCACCATGGAGCTGCATTCTCATGAGTGGAGTTACCACATGTACAGATAGAACAGGTTAGGTAGTGAATATTGCAGTGAAGAGCAATGAAGCAGTGTAGGAAGCATGCAAGGCGAAGGAATGGTGTTATTGAAGATGTGGTGGGTCTGATGAGGCTCTGCTGGAGCAGAGATTTGATGGAAATAAGGGACCACGTCTCTGGACACTGGGGATGGTGATACCTTCAGGCTGGAATGTGCTTTTCAAGAAATGACCTTTTACTCAGAGATGGAAAACCACTGGAAGGTTTGAACAGAAGAGTAGTGTCTTCGGACAGACACTTCAGGAGAATTACTTGCCTGAGCTGAGTAGAGTTTGTAGAGGGCAAGTGCAGGCGCAGGTTGAGGAGGCTGTTGCCGGCCGGGACCACAGCTGCTGGCATGTGTTTGGATTTTGAATATAATCCACCAGTAGGATTGAGAGGATTGGCCGAGGAATTGAGTAAGTAGGGTGGATGAGAGAAGAGGTTAATATGATTCCAAGGCTTTTGGCTTGAAGGAGCTGCTTCTGAGATGGGAAAAACGTTAGGAGGAGTGGTTTGGTGGGGGTCAGGCAGGGAGGAAAAAGGGGCTGGAGGGGGGTGTGTGGGAAATTGGGAGTTACTTCTTGAAAATATTACTAAATTGTTCAAAGCTTTCCTAAAGGAAAAGAAAAGGAACTCTCGTTTATTTTTCACAGGATATATTTAGTAGCGACCATTTGAAGTAAAATTTTGAGTAAAACTTATTAGGAAAAACATAATTATTTTGTTCAGTATATATGAATTTTATTCATTTTCTCTTAATGCAGTTTCTTTAGTTTAAAAAGCCCTTATTTTACTATACATGATCTAATCCTTTTCTCTCTTCCTTTCTTTTAATCCTTATTTAATTCTCCACATCTGGTCTTTATCCCCCCACTTCTTCAATTCTTTTGACTTAAAACAACAACAAAACTATTGGGGTTGAACTTCTCCTTCTCTGGTGGATAAGGAAATACTAGAGACATAAGTACCACAGAGATTGTCCCATGCAGCTCATGGCCCAGGGGTCTTACCCTAGGACTTACGCGACTCTAAGACCAGAACAGACCTTTGGATCTCTTGTCCTCTAGATAGACTAGCCATATTTTTACTTCATTTATAAAAGTACTTTAGCAGCAATCACCGTGTCACCTTTGTGAAATTCTTTGAAGGTAACTGGAGCCCTCCTACCTATTTTGTAGAATTCTTTGGTCTCTGTTTGATCACCAATAGAGAAATAACATAAAATACAAGCTCCCAAAAAGGAATATGTCCCTTTTGCAAAATCTTTCATATGTTAGAAAATTATTTAAAAATAATTCTTTCAAGTACATTTCTAATTTTCATTAGTTGTTCCCCAAAATCTATAAACTCCTCTCTCAAAGGTCCTATTAATTCTATGATGGAATCACTTATAAATTTTCCATAGCACTTCTTTTTTTTTGTTTCTTTGTTTCTTTGTAAGCTAGAACTCCACCCTTACTCTGATGAAGAATGAATCAGCACTCCCCAGTTGGCACGATGAAGTGATGTACTCTGTGTCACACTTCTTTTCTACCTTAATCTGAGGTTCACATTCTTCCACCATGAATCTCAAATCATGCTCAGTATTATTCAGAAAGAGTCCTCCAACTTGAACGTGACTATTTTCTACTTAGTGACACTGCCTTGGAATTGTTTCCTGTGAACTCTGTTCTATATATTTCTGCTACCTTTTCCAGTTTATGATCATTTGAATGCAAGCTCTGTTATTACTTCCTCTTTTTTCTTTGTCATTTGTAATCAATAGAATCATGGATTATGTGTTGTGTTTCCTCTGATTCATCAACTAGTTGAAAAACAGGTACTTGCAGATATACTTGCAGTGAATGGAATTGACTGAAAGCAATTGTTATCAAATGTAAGCAGACCATTTCCTTCCACGCCATTTGTCAGGCTGAGTGGCATGACAGAGCCAGCTCCTACTTGTCCCAGCTCATGAGACCTGATTGTTAAATATTTAGAAAAGTAATTAATTTATTAATTTGCTTATGAATTGATTCACCATATGAGCTAATTTGTCCCTTGATATTCTGACCTTATAATTTTACAGCAATCGTGCATGAACCTAGACAATTACATGAGGACTACACTGAATCCTTACTTAATCAATGTCACCCTAGCAGCCAAAATGTGTAACCAAGTGCTGTGCCAGGATCAAGGAGTATGTATAAGGAAACACTGGAATTCAAGTTACTACCTTCACCTGAACCCAGTGAATTTTGCTATTCAAACTGGAAAAGGTGGAACATATGCAGTACGTGGGAATCCCACACTTGAAGACCTGAAGCAATTTTCTGAAAGATTTCATTGCAGCTGTTTTGCCCACATTAACTGTAAGGAGAGAGTTGACCTAAGAAAAATTCGTAAGATTAATGTCTGTGCTACTGAAGATGTTTGTATAAAATGCCCTTCTAAAAGCAGAACCAGGTGGTCAGCCTTCTAAGTTGGATATTTTCTTCAGAGAAAAGTAAAAATATGAATAATGCCATTGACTGCAAATGAATGTCTTCATAGTTTGTAGTTTATAATAAAAATGTCAAGAAAAGTTTAAAGTGAAAAACTTTATCTTTTAAAATGTATTATCCTAGGTGTACTAGTCTGCCTCAAGCACAGAACTATAGTTTTTAGCCATTTCATCTTGCTAACTTGTTCAAGTTGTGTTTTATAAAAAGGTAACTTTTGAAAAGTGATTATCCTGTCCACTTTTGTACATGGCTTAGTATGTCATCAGAATTCCTAAAGTATTTCAATTTTCTTCTCACTTTTAGTGTCAGCTTGACAATCTTGTATACCAAAAATGCTTTATTTCATCTAAGCCTCCATTCACATCCTTCATTGAGAATTTATTGCATATTTATTCTGTGCCAGTCTCAGTATTAAGGGTCCCAGGTTCTCAGTGAAGTAGCATGCTCCGTTCCATCAGCGAATTTGTTGTATATTTGAAGACAGACATTGAAAGTGGAAAATTACAATGTAGTGTATGACAAATGCTATGATAGAAATTCAGCACACTCCAGCATGCAAACAAGAAGTTGAGGTATCAGAGAAGAATTTTAAGGTGTCATGAAAAAGATGATGTGTCTGTTGCCTTGAGAATTGAATAGCAGTTAGTGTGGAGGCGTGAGACGGAAGGAAGTTCAGAAGGATAGAACATTGAGTGTGGTTTTTACAGTGGTATAGACTAATGGCCAAGTGATGAAACTATACTTAATATGGTTAGTATGGTTTTGTTACCATACTAAGAACTTTGGACTTTACAAGGAAGCCACTCCTGAGCCTCTTGACCTGCCCTATTTTTTTTCCCATGCATTCATATCCCAGCATGATACATTCATCTACATTTACTCCCTGTAATGTAAACATCATGAGAACAGCTGTTTGAGGTATTTTACTTGCTGCTATATCCACAGTGTGATGAGCTTCTATCTAAGACTTAGTAGGTGCCCACTAAATATTTGTTGAACAAATAAAAGTCAATAAGAAACCACTAAAGAATTTTAATGGAGGGAGTTGTCATAACCAGTTTTCACAGTCTTGAACTAATACTGCCTTTTCCTTAGCTTTGTGCCTCATTCTCTGCTCCAGTTATGATTCCACTATCAAAGCTGTGTTTTCATAAGTAAGCCATGAAAAGAGACCAATAATGATCTGGAAAGGACACAACATATGGACTCATTTACTTAGAATAGGCAAATGGCTGTCAGGGCATCAGGATTTAGAAAGAAAGGAGGCAGCATTCCAATTTCCAAGGCAAATTGGAAAAGGCATGGGTTTTGGAGCTGAACAGTTCTAAGAACAAATCCCAGCTTCCAACATGCTTTAGCTGACAGAGTAAACCTGACCCAGAGTCCATTCTAATTAAATAGCAATAATAAATAACTTCTAAGGTTCTTCCAAGAATTGAATATATAATACATGGAAAGCATTTAGCCTTACAAATAACTCAATAAATGTCTGTAGGAGAAAGGGGATGGATACATTTTCATTTGGTGTAGGAATAGATACATAGATCCAGTGTTTTTGCCAGGGGTCAGGCTTGTATCTGAGGTTACAAAGAGAATTGCACAATATCCCTGCCTTTGAGGAGCTTGTACACTGATGCTGATGATGGGCATTTCAACAGAAATTGTCTACAGAATGTGACTGTGGGTAAAATTGCAATATTTCCAGAATCTCTTGTCTGGCCTTAGTGAATCTCCATGTCAATAGGTAGTTACAAGGGGGAGCAAGATAGGTTAGGTGGGATCCCTTTTTCTGCAGCCAGATCGCAAGAGACACAGGCAAGCAGAAGTGGATGCCAGTGGGTTGAGCTGTGGGCAGCATGGCTCATGATCACCAAGGAGCCTTCCCCCATAGCTATCTGCACTGACAGCTGGGCTACCTATCGGGGCTTGACCCTTTGGCTACCAACATGGTACCATGCCAACTGGATGGTTGGATACCTGCCCCTCTGGGGGCAAAAGTTGTGGCAAGACCTTTGGGCCTCTGGTCAGACTAAGTTATCGTATATCGTGTGACTGTCCATTTGCCTTTGGCATCCCCAGGGAATGATGAAACAGACACTTTGGCCCAGGTGCATTGGCTAGAAGGAAAGCCTGCCTCTGATGTAGACAAATGGTTGCATCACCATTTGTTGCACATGGGGCAAAAGACACTGTCAGTGGGGCTTGCTGTTGACCTTTGAAGAAGTCAGCAGAGCCTTGTGTGCTCTAAGAGGGACTTACACAGAAGTCCTGCACCAACATGGGACAATAAGAAGGGGGCTGATACCGCTTATCAGGTGGCAGATAGACTGCATTAGGCCTCTGCCCATATCAGAAGGATATGCCATGACTTGTGTGGACACAGCTACTGGCCTGTTGGTTTGTTTTCCTGCACATCTTGCAATCAGCCAATGACCAAAAGGGGCCTAGAGCATCTCTTTGCAGCCTATGGCCAGCCGCAGGTGATTGAGAGCAACCAAGGCAACCACTTTACTGGACATATGTTACAAGAATGAGTGCAACAATTAGGAATAAAGTGTAAGTTTCATGTACCATATAACCCTACCAGGGCAGGCATGATAGAGAGGTACAATGGTTTGAAATCTGGCCTGAAGTTGGACACCAATAGTCTACAGGGCTGGTCAATTCGTTTATGAACAGTGTTAAGGCATCTGAATGAGAAAGCCCAAAAAGGAGCCTTAAGCTCTGTGGACATGCTAACACACATTACTGCCTCTCCTATACAATTGTCTGTGCAAACCAAAGAAGAGCTATTGAAACCAGGAAATAGCCAGCAGAGCAACATCCTGCTGCCAGCCCTAACTGTGTTAAACCCTGGAGACTCTGTTGAGTGGGCTTGGCCCTGGACATTTTGACACATGGACCAGTGATGGCTGGCCCTTCTGGACCTTGGGGATAAGGCCTGGAAGCTGGCCTCATGTGTATTCCTGGAGTAACAGCAGAGTGGTCCCCAAGATCATCGTAGTGTACCCAAAACATCTGGGAGGTAAAAGCATCTTACAGGAAAGTTTTGTTTTATCTTTATGGTCAGTGCATGTACCTCCTGTAGCCCTATATATTGACCCATCTGTAACTCCCACAGGGAGGTGGGTGTAAGTCTGGTATACTAGACCAGGATGAGATCCTATTCCTGTCACTGTCCTATCACAGGATCACTCTCTTGCAAGTATCCTACCTGATGGGCAAGATTTGCCTATGCTGGTGTCATCTCTTATCACCCTTAAGGTTATTATCTCCTATAGTCCCTGTGGCCTGGACCCATCCCCTGCCTGCAGCTGCCACGTGATGATTGCTTTGAACTCCCTACCTGTTCAGCTACTGCCTGCCTGTGGAATGGGCAAGCTACAGACTCAATCTGCATAGGACTTTGAACCTAGTTGAATCCTTCAGCTTGAGGATTATCATGATTTAATTGCTGTTGCTTTTGTATGTTATTAGTCTGGTTACAATGCTCCAGTTTTCTCAACACAGGGACCCTTGAGGAAGAGGGAGAATGAGTAGATTGTAAGGTGAGATTTCTGGAGGGGTGGACTGTGAGTAAAGTTGCAATCTTTCCAGAACCTCTCCTGACCTTAGTGCATCTCCATATCAATAGGTGTTTCCAAGGGGTGGAGAGAAGTAGTCCATCTCTGTATCAATAGGTAATTATAAGGGTGAGGGAGGGCATATCTGGCCCAAAGAGGTTGGGTGGGATCCCCTTTTCTTGCAGCCAGATCACGAGAGACATGGGAGAACAGAAGTGGACAACTGCTTGTAGGCAATAAGTGGGTTTCTCCTACTTTATTTCTTCCTTTGACTGATTTCGGTTTCAAAGGTATTTTGTCCTGTGATTCCCCCTCCCCCCGGAATTACAGTGACATATGCATACAAGGGTAAAAATTAAGGAACTATGGGCAACAGAGTACTAAAGGAATTGAGTAATTTTTAGCTTAAAAATATATGGAATTAGTTTATTCGATGCACACTGCATCCTTAAACTCTTAAGTGTCATACAAAACCTGTCTCTCTGACACAGCAGAGAGCTCTCTTCCAAAATGACCACAGACAATGGCTGCTTTTATCTTTGAAAATAAATTTGAAAGGAGAGTAACTAAAAATAGACCATTGGGTTTATTATTCAGATATATCCAATACTGTTGGGAAAATGCAGATGTTCACTAAAGAGATAACAAAAAAGACTTCAAGATATTTAAGTAATGGTAAAGACATGAGAAGTAAAATTTTAAAAAGCTCTTGGCAGTGAATTTTGGATAAATATATCCACTCAGGAAAATTAACCATTGGATTCTTAATATTTATAAGCATAATGCTAACACAAAAATGACTACCAGGAAAATGACCACCTATAGAAGCATATAAGACACCATGGATAGTAGAAGATCATAAAATGAGAAATATTTCCAAAATGCTGACCTTGATTTGGTAATGAACTAGTAATGAAAGAATTTAATTTCTCAAAGTTTTCTATAAATTGGCTGCTGGCAAAGTAGTAGCAAACTTTAGATGGCACTAACCTACTGCTGAATAGAGGACAGTCATGCATGCACTATTTTGTGATGAGACATTTGAGGACCGTGAAGCCATTGCCTTGTCATGTGACCTCATGTTGTAATGGAAGAGTGATTTCTGGTTTATATTCTTCCCAGATAAGCTCAGCGAAGGCACAGCCATGTGCTCAGGATCCTAGGACACAGCACAATTCCGTGGCACAGAGTGGGTGCTCAATAAGATGTTGGAAAAAACTTGCAATGACTATAAGTATAATTGCTATTGACTGAAAGAGAATTTGGCAAGTTTCTAATTCAGTTGGTTAGCAACTATGGATGAAGGCATTTTTTTCCCTTTGTCAGAAGGGTGTTTATTTTGAAATACTTCTTTGGAAATTATTTTTTATTTTGAAAATGCTCCCCACCACTCTCTTCTGTTTCTCTGGGTACATGGCAGCAATCATCTTACTCCTAAATTCCTGCCTTATA